TGCAAGAAAATTTCTTTCTCTAATCCTATATTTTCAAGTGAGAGATTGAACTTGACTGTCATGTCCCAAGTTTTTATAATCCTAGAAGAGAATCAACCTCCTCCAGTATGTCAGTTTTGCAAATAGTACACTGACATTATTTACAAAAGCAAAGGAGAGCCGGGTGCTGTGGCACACACCTATAATCCCAGTGGCTAGGGAGGTTGAGGCAGGAGGATTGCCAGTTCGATTTAGTGAGGCCTAAGCAACTTAGCAACACCCTGTCTAAAAAAAAAAATTAAAAATGGAAGGGGATGGGGCTCAGTGATTAAGTACCCCTAGTTTCAATCCCTGGCACTAAAAAACAAAAAGGAGAAAGTGAAATCTTATATTTGGAAAATTCAGTATCACAATAAAATTATGGAAATTATATTTAAGTTGTCCATTAAAGAAGAAAAATCTACATTTTGTTTTTCTTACCCTTTGTCATGTTGACACCTTGACTTCATGACCAGGTTTCCTTAACAAAAAGGAAAACTTCCCCTACAAGAATTTGGAGAGGCTACATAAATGAAAAAATAGTAAGAAATAAACATTTGAAAATTTTGTCAAACAAATCATGTAATTGAAGTAATGGAGAAATGTGAAGTACTGAATAATTTAGTTAAGTTTAAAATCAATATTCAATTTTCTAAAACAATAAAAATTGCAATATTTTAATATATTTTCTTAAGCAGTATGCTAAATATCAATAAACATTACAAAGATCTTATCAAGTCTTATGAAGTATTATGTAATATGCTATAGACATAGGAGTTTAAGAATTGTGCTAAATGTGTTTTAAGCTCAGTAGCGCCAAGGGTGTTTAACATGTTTTTCTTTCTTCGGTGATGCTGGAGATTGAACCATTGCTTCATGTGTCCTACACAAGCACTGTATCACTGAATTAAATCCCACCCGCATTTTTTTGTTAAAATATACTTTTAAAAAAATGTAGAATGCATGTTACTAGGCCAGGCTGGGCAACTTGGTAAGACCCTGTCTCAAAAAAAGAAATGGGGCTTGGGGTGTGGCTCAGTGGTAGAGTGCTGCTGGGTTCAATATCCAATACTGGAAAAAAAAATGCAAGTGACTAATTCAGGTTAACTATTGATTCAATTTGAAGAATTCTAGCCTTTATCAAGCCAAATTTCACTTTACTCCAAAGTGAATGAAATTATATTGTATTCATAATTTCACTGCTTTTTTGGAAGATATATACTTTAAAGGATTGAAATTATAACCCTTTTCAATTATAACTTATTGGTTGTAAGCAATAAATTTCTTCTACCAGAAATGGTTTGAGTCAGGGAGGATTGGGTTATCAAGAAAAACTACTGAACAGTATACAATGCCAATGCCTCTAATCCCAGGAACTCTGGAAGTTAAGTAAGGAAGATCACAAATATAAGCCAGCAAGGGCCACTTGACAAGACCCAAGACCCTGTCTCAAAAAGGGCTGGGGTGCTGAGTTTGTAGCTCAGAGATAGAGTGCTTGCCTTGCATGTGTGAGGCACTGGGCTTCATCCTCAGTGCCACAAAAAGATAAATAAAGATATTTTGTCCATCTACAACTATATACGTGTGTGTGTGTGTGTGTGTGTGTGTATTTTTTTTTTTAAAGAACTGGGGATAGGGCTCAATGATAAAGCACCCCTGGGTTCAATCTTGGTACCATTAAAAAAAAACTGGTTAGGTCATGGCTGTTATTACAAGTGATAGAGTAGAGCAGTTATTCATATATAAATTTATTTAATGTGATAATTTGAGGTTTTAAATTCTGAGAATATAGTTCACTGGCAAATAACTTTTACCCTAGATGAGAATGGTGTGCTAACATATAAGCAACAACTAGAGAACAATAAAATGTAAACTATCTTGCAATTTAGAAGTATAGTAGAAACTCAAAAGAAATGTGGACTTAGACTGAGAGAAGACTTCTTAGAGAAGGTAAAGGATGAGTTGGGCTTAAAAAGTAGATGGGATTAATTAGGTGAATTGAAGGAATGATAGACTTTCAAGTACATAAAATAACATGAGCCAAAGAGTGATCAGGTAGGAAGAAGTAAAGTACATACAATAGACTGAAGGAATAGAGTGGGCATTCAGGGACAGGTAGGGAAATTAATATAACCATGTTTGAGATTGTTTTCCTTCCTTTGAATAAGGTACTCTCATTTCTAATCAAAGAAAACAAGTATTCAGATTGCCTGCAGTCCCTCAAGAGCCAAGATATGATGCTTTGAGGAAGAAGGAAAAAAAAAAGCCTGTAAGAAATAATTGAAAGGAAACAGGCTTAAATAATACAAGTTTACCCTAAACGATTTAGGAAGTCTGTGGCTCTTACCAAATCAGGTAAGAAATATTGAGGGGAAAGGGTTGCATAGCCAAAATTCTATCAGGATCTTTTTTGATAAATTACCACTATAGGAATGTCTGTGATCTAATTACAATAATTGTTAAGCCAAAGAGAAATGAGCCTTTTCCAAACCTCTCTCTTGATTTTCATCCAAGCCTTAGCTCAAGTTATTTTCTCCTAAAATGTCCTTTTCTTCATCTTCAGTTGGCTAAATCTTCTTATGCCATCTACCTCCTACATTAAATTTTCCCAATTCTCTTCTTCTTTAGCCAAAATGCTATTTCTCCCTTTTGTGCTTCTGTACTTAGAACAATTAATACATACTGCCTTATGAAAATGACTGTCATATTCTTATTGTAATACTCTAGAAACTTTGAACATAGTGGGTGCTTGATAAATAAACATTGATTGCTGAAAATCAACAGTAATGCCATTTATAGTAAAATAGTATATTCTAGAAAGGCTGAATACCAGCTAGCTAGATACAAAAATACCTAGATTCTTTTTTGGTACTGTAGGAGTTCTCCACCTTTTACTACATCACTTAACCAGGGTTCTTCATGTTCTGTCCTGCCTACTAACATTCATGCTTCAAGTCATAAATACCTTAAAGTGTCTTTTTCTTTTTGTTTTTTTGTTTTGTTTTGTTTTGTTTTTGAACCAAAGCCAGAAACTAGACTGGGGGTATTGCTCAGTGATAGAGTGCTTGCCCAGCACATCCTAGGCTCTGATTTTAAGCCTCAACACCTCAAAACAATAACCAAAGCCTGAAACCTAAGGGCAAGGGAATGAATAATCAGGAGTATGGTATTTTGATATCCCACTTGAGGGCCATGAATGATCTAATTGATCATTTCTAAGCTTTCCAATAAAATGTGAAATACTGTGAACTGTTACCTATTGGCCTTTATTTGTATGTCCTTGAGAAGATAGGAAGTGTTAGTAGATGAAGTCTTTAAGTTAAAAAAGATACATTTTAAGGCTGGAGCAGAAAGATGGCAAGTTTGAGGTCAACCTAGGCAAATACCTTGTGAAGTATTTGTCAGTCAGTGAAGACTGTCTCAAATTTTTAAAAAGGGGGAGGGGATTGGAGATATAGCTAAGAAGTTTTAATCCCCACCCACCCACTCCCCCCAAAAAACTTTAATGCATATCTGAAGTCTCAGCTGAGGCAGGAGTTCAAGTTCACCACCAGTATGGTGGCACACACCTATAATCCCAGAGGCTCAGGAGGCTGAGGCAGTAGAATCGCAAATTCAAAGCCAGCCTCAGCAGCTTAGCAAGACCATGTCTCAAAATAAAAATTAAAAGAAAATAAAGGGCTGGGGATGTGGCTCGGTGGTTAAGCACCCCTAGTTTCAATCCTTGTTTTGTTCTTAAAAAAAAAAAGGCAAAAGTTCAAGGCCAGCCTCAGCAACTTGGTGAGGCCCTGTCTCAAAATTAGGAAACAAAAGCGATCAGGGACATAGCTCAATGGAAAAGCCCCACTGATTTCAATCCCCAGTAACACAAAATAATGACTGGGGATATAGCTTAGTGGTACAGAGCTTGCCTAGCTTGTGTGAGGTCCTGGGTTCAATCCCATTTACCACTGAATAATAAATGCTTTTCAAGATCAAATTCTACTGGTTAAAAATTATATATTTCCTAAGAAGCACTATTTCCATAATCACAAAAAAAGTATTGAGTACCTGCTATAGTTTTTAAGATCAATGGAATGCTGTCAATGTTTCTGTTTACTTGGAACAACCTTATTGAATGAAATAGGCTTTACCATGCACTATTTTGGATTATGTGTATAGATACATTCTCTACCACTGAGCTATATCCCCAGCATTTTTTATTTTGAGACAGGGTCTTGCCAGGTTGCCCAGGCTAGCCTTAAACTTTTGATCCTCCTGCCTCAGCTCCTGAGTAGCTAGGATTACAGAAGTGTGCTAACATACCCAGTTTGGAAAATTTTATTAACACCAACCAAGTCATACCAAAAAAAGCTTTCAGAAATATAAAATTATATATATATATATAATTATGTTATATATATATATATACACACACACACAAATATATATATATATGAAAATTGTGGATCAAATATGTAGAATTTATTTGATAGAACATTTAAGTTATATTTGTAATGGAATATGGATTTATTTTTATGTAACTTTAGAGTTTTTACATATGTTTTATATGTGTGTATGTTTATATAAGATATATATAAGATATATATATGTGTACATATATATATATACACATATATATATATATGTGTGTGTGTGTGTACATATTTTGTGGAGCTAGGTTCAATCTCATTGACTGAATCAAACCCAAGACCTCAGGAACACTGGGCAAGTGTTCTGTCACTGAGATATGCTCCAGCCTTAAAATGTATCTTTTTTAACTTAAAGACTTCTGTCACACAGATATGATGCTACACCCTCATCCTTTATTATATTTTTTGAAAAGCCTATTGTTGTTGGTTTTGGTTTGGCTTTATGGGTAGGTGATATGTTTGTTATATTTGCTATTTAGCCAAAAGTAAGGAATTCAACCAACAAATAACAGTTTCTATGGTAAAGCAGTTTCCCTTCTATCTTGATTTGCTTTATTAACTGTTTTCCAGGTGTGAATTTTGATACCACAACTGCCCAAAAAAAGGTGAGAACTGACTTAAACCACTGTTGCTTAGGCCATGTGGCAAAGGGACTGAGAGCAGAAAACAGAAGTATATGTAGAGCAGAGGGTCTTAGGGTCTTACAACACTCACTTTAGTAGAGGGCAATAACTGCCACATGAAATGATCCCCTCAGCACAAAACTGTAAGTAATTTTGGGGACTTACATGGAAATTAGACAGTTGTTTCTGCTGTTGATAAAAAGTCATTTTGTTATTTGTGTCCTGCATGCTTATAAAACAAGTTGCATTGAATTGTCAAGTTGTGAATTTTCCTGATTTGAAGGTTAATATTCAAGCCAAAATTCCCCAAAAAGTAATCTGGGATCTGGGCCATAGGAAATGAGGCAAAGGTTACATGAATTTGGATAACTAGGTTAGAACTAAGTAATTGGGCCTTTGTCTTGAAGACTAATTAGATGACTTTAGTCTTGAAATAGTAAGAAATAGGGAGCCATCAGAGCCTCTGACTACAAAATAATGGAAATTGACTTTTTGGAAATTTAATGTGGCAAAACTATATGTAGAAACTTCTAAGAATAAAGTCTGGGACCAAAGAAACTGGGCATGTGACTATTATAGTAATATAGAAGTAAAGAAAACCTGACTGGAATAGTGGCAATATGAATGGAGATAAAAGAATAAATTACATATTTTAAAAGAAATAACTGTAGAACATCATAATGGTTTGGATAAAAGGAAGATATAACAATTATATACTTTCTATACTGGAAGAAAATTGTAGTCTCAATAAAAGAAAAAGGACAGTTGAGATGTCAGTTTCATCCAATTTTCGTGTTACATTTAAACTGGTATGTAGGCATTCAGTGTGAAATGCCTTGATTAAACGTTGCTGGATATACAGAACTGAATTCTAATGTAAAATTCAGGAGAAGTAAATTTGGAAGTTATCGACTAACTGAAACTTTTTATTAAAGACAATCATCCTTATGAAAAACTACATACACACACACATACATATACACATACATTTGTATAAAGAAACGATTTTATTAGGTATGTAATCTTAAATAAATATTCCTAAAATTGAATTGAAATTCTCCTTTTTTCCTTAGAGTATCATATCTCAAGCTTGTGCTTGTACTAAAATTCCTACACTTATATCAGTGTCGATGACTAAAATGTGTTAATACTCTTAACTTTACCTTTTCCTTTAATAAAACAAAGATCTTTCAAAGTATTAAACTAAAGGAGAAATTGAGAACGTAAGGTTCAAATAATTCAGTCAGTTAAAACTTTATGAAATTGACATGGCTTTAATTTCTCAAATGGAAAGGCAAGTAATTGAATTTGGGGAAGTATGTTGGTCTCTAGTTTCAAGAAACAGTGTAGCACAAAGATCTGGCAATCTAGCTCAGAAGCTGTAATAATAAACAGAAATTTGAAAACCAGAAAGACAAGTTTTCCAAGAGTGCAACTGTGACATTTCAAAAAAGTCTTAACAAGAAATTTCAGGAGATGGCCAAAAAAAGGTTTAGATAATTGACATTCCTTCTTTGAATACTTGTGTTTGAGCTCTGGGTATGGTGATAAACATTTATAATCCTAGCAAATTGGGAGGCTGAGGCAGGAGGATCATAAGTTCTAGGCCAGACTCAGCAACTTAGCAAGATCCTCTCTCATAATAAAACAGCTGAGAATGTAGTAAACCTTTCTTTCTGTGTTTAGGTCCTAGTTTACATGTGACTTACGTGCCTGGTCTGCTGCCTTTTAACTGACTCCTAAATCATGAGGTAAGTAAAGATTTAATACCAATTATAGTTATGTGACCTTCATTCTGAACTTGTATTCTGTTAATGTTTTTAATTGCTAAGTACTCTTCTGGCATTACTTTTTTATTAGCAAATTATGTATATTACAATTTTGGCCAGGTTATTTTACCCAGCTTAAATGTATAATTTTGTGTTACTGTCCATGAGTTAGTAGTCCTAGATAGATCTATATTTTCAACTCATTGAATGTAGAATTACCCAAGTAAACTTCAAATAGAAAATACCGTGAGGGTTTTTTTCTGTAGTCTGTTACTTGAGTCAGCTCTTTCAGAATGAATTTTATAACATATCCTCATCCATCTTTGAATCAACTATAATTCTTGTTTTTCCAAGTGTCTATTCACTGACACTAAAGCTTTCTAAATATTCTAGTTGGGTTCATTTGAACCTATTAGATACCAAGCTGTGGGGAAATATAAAGACCATTACAGAGAACAGTCCCAGTCCTTATCTTAAAAGAACTTAGGGAACCTCAGACATTGTGACTAGACTTCCTTGGGATTTGTTGTTGTTGTTGTTGTTGTTTTATACAAAAAAGATAAGACAAGCTTCTCCATTTAGCTCCTTATTTGGCAACTCAAATTCAAATTTTCTAGAAGTGTTGTGAAATTATGAAAAGTAACAGGAACTAGAAACAGTTGCTATTTGATATGTTTACCCAGATGATAGGGTAGAATCATTTGTTTTAATGATTTCTGGATTTAAAGTGTTGGTATGAAATCTGAACATGCATAAGACTGTCCACCTAAAACCCCTGAGGACAAATCTTAGGCACATTGTAGTTTGGGGAGCTAAGTCCTGTTTATTTTTCCATGTTTAGTTCCTTTTATATTCTGTGCTATGCATACTACATATTTTCCATTTTTTTTTAGTTGGACACAATATCTTTATTTCACTTATTTATTTTTATGTGGTGCTGAGAATCGAACCCAGGGTCTCATGCGTGCGAGGCGAGTGCTCTACCACCGAGCCACAACCCCAGCCCCCATATTTCCCATTTTCATCCATGTAAGGTTTAGCTTTTTTTGGGGGGGTAACTCTACATTGAACCCCCAAGGGTGCTTAACCACTGTGCCACATTCCCAGCCCTTTTTATATTTTATTTAGAGACACAGTCTTGCTAAGTTGCTTAGGGCCTCACTAAATTGAGGCTAGCTTTGAATCTGTGATCCTCCTCTCAGTCTCCCGAGCCACTGGAATTACAGGCATGCACCACTATGCCCGGGTAGATTTTAGCTCTTCATCCATTGAAAGATTTTTGCATTTGATCAATTTCATAGTTTAGATAAATATACTAAGGCGTTTTAAATGATGAAGTTTTTGATGAAATTTTTCATTACTTTTCATCTTTAGAAGGCCTAAAACTTGTTGAAGTGTAATTCTGTGGAAAAGCTGGTGGGCAATTGTGTTTTTTACTCAGTTGTTGCTATTCCAGAAATCCAAGTATTTTTAGTAGTATATTTTCATCTCTTTATATCTTGAGGTTTTGTTTAAAAACAGTAAATTCAGTGGCATATTGATCTCTCTAATGGGTTCTTCAGTGTTAGGAAGGTAATAAAATTTTCTAAATTTCTTTTTGAAAATTTCCTCCTAGTAGATTTTACATTATGAAACTTGATGCTACAATCAATTTCCTCAGCAAACAGGAGGTTTAGAATGCTCTTAGCAAATCTGTTGTTACTCCACCACAGTCTCTGGTAATGTATATCTCTGTTATTTATGATAGAAAATCAGTACAAAAGCTTATAAAGCAAAGTTGAAGTTTGTTAGACGTAAATGGTATATAAAAATAATTGGAAACAGATATGATTCCCTAAACCACATATTTCTCAAGCTGCTTTCTTTCAACCAGTCTCCTAATTTCACAGCTGCCCAAATTATTTCTGCCTTTGCCGTAACCTAATTGTGACTTACAAATTAAACTCAAGAGTAAAATTCAGCAATAGGTCTTCTTTTCAGAAAATCTTTAGGAAGAACATCCAATCACAAATTATTGAGGCTCAAGAATCATAAGCTAGCCAGCTGTGGCAGCACAGGCCTGTAATCTCAGTGGCTCAGGAGGCTGAGGCAGGAGGATCTCAGTTCAAAACCAGCCTCAACAATTTAGCAAGGTTCTCAGCAACTTAGACCCTGTCTCAAAATAAAACAAAAAAGGCTGGGGATGTGGCTTAGTGGTTAAGCACTCCTGGTTTTAATCCCCAGTATAAAAAAAAAGAATCATAAACCAAAGTCTTTAGTGCCTTGTCAGAAATGAAACTGCAGGTGATGGAAGGAAGCTGACACAAATATAACAAGTGGAAGAACAGAGGAAGCCCAACTATCAAGGATACCATTATGACTAATAAAACTAGGAATCCAAGATGATTTACACCTGTAATCCTAGCTACTTGGGAGACTAAGGGAGGAACACTGCAAGTTTGAGGTCAGCCTGTCTTAAAGTGAAATTTAAACAAGGAAAGGGCTCAGTAGTAAAGCACTTGCCTAGTATGTGCAAACCCTGGGTTTGATCCCCAGCAACACCAAAAAAAAAAAAAAAAAAATAGACTGACAAATCTTTACATGTCATTGTGATGATATACACTTGTGTGTTCAAAGTGGAATGATAGGTTTTTATGATGCTAGAACAAGGTTTTTAGTGTGGATGGCCAAGACAAGCTTTTGCCATTATTTTCTTATAACTTAAAATAGATTAAGGGGCTGGAGTTGTGGCTCAGTGGAAGAGTGCTCGCCTAGCATGCACGAGGCACTGGGTTCAATCCTCGGCACCAAATAGTATAGAAATAAAGATATTGTATCCACCTAAAAATAAATATTTAAAAAATTTTTAAAAATAGATTAAGAGTTAATCGGTGCCTATATGAAAATGTCAGTCTCCCCTCTCCCCCAAACAGGCAAAGAGTTTCATTAGCCTGGTGGTGCATCTAACTTATCCCTATTTTCTTCAGACTACATTTGCCTGCCTCCCTTCCTAAAACAACACTCATTTGGGGTGTGGGAGGCATGTCTAGACATTCCAGTTATAGTGTCCCATTTTAGTTTGGAGTGAACATAAAGGCTTACTGAGATATTAACAGGTGGGTCTCTAGGTAAGATAATCTCTGAAGTATTTACTAAAATAAGAAACTCTTCATGGGGCTGGGGTTGTGGCTCAGTGGTAGAGCACTTGCCTCACTTGTGTGAGGCACTGGGTTTGATCCTCAGCACCACATAAAAAAATGTATAAAACAAAGATATATAAAAGAAGTTCTTCCTACTCAAAAATAAATTTTCTCTAATAAATAATAATTTTTAATTGTGGTAATCTCTCCCCAAAATCTCTGCACTATGAACTCATAACCTTGGAGAAACTATTTCAGAGACTTAGGTTATTTTAATTTAAACCCATTGTCAATATTATAATTGTATTTATGGTAAGTTCTAGAGGTGCAAGAACTTTTTTGTTCTGTGTAGTAAAAATCTCAAGAATAGTATTTGGCACATAGTAGATGTCAACAAACATTTATTGTATGAACGTTATGTATGATTCTATAGGTAATATATTTCTATTAGTTCATTAAAAACATTTATTTCTAATCTCAAAATTGTTTCCTGCAAATGCAAATGACTAAGAACATATTAAAAGCTGCTTAAACATTTCCTGTTTTATTCCTTGCCAAACTATAGTTAGAATATTGTTTGCTTCGGTATTTTTTTTAACTACTTATCAGTTAATGGTTTTATCAGCAAAGTACTATACAGAATTAAATAGTGTTTATGTATAACTATGCCAATTACACCCAACTAGTTAAATCACATGCATGGCAAAAATATATATAGCGAAACAAAAATACTGTGCCTACCGTATAATGCTAATATGGGAACTATACCAAACACATCACCCCCAAAACAACTAGGTTGACTTTTCTGCAGAAAACAAAAGGTAAGGGCTGCAAAAAAGAAAGACCAAAAAAAAAAAAAAGAATAATAAAAACTTATTCTAAGGGAATTTCTTCTTATATAAACCATTATTTTCAGTTATTTTCCCTAAAATTACTAATATTAAAAGTATGCTTTTTCACGATACATAACCCTTTTTTTCTTCTTGGTTGGTACTGCAGATCAAACCCAGGGGTGCCCATCCCCACACCAGCTATATCCCTCAGCCCTTTTTATTTTTCCTTTTGAGACAAAGTCTCTATAAGTTGCCCATGTTGGCCTTAACCTTGCAATCTTCCTGCCTCTCAGCCTTCTGAGTCACTGGGATTATAAGCATATACCACCACCACATCTGACTTCTACTTAATCTTTTGAAGTACTCTTAAAGAGTTTTTAAAATTTTTCCCTACAACCCAGAACACAGAAATCTATAAGTAACCACTAGAAATGTCAATTTTACTAAGTGGAAGTATATCACAAGAAGGGTGGGGCTGGGGATGTGGCTCAAGCGGTAGCGTGCTCGCCTGGCATGTGCGTGGCACTGGGTTTGATCCTCAGCACCACATACAAATAAAGGTGTTGTGCCCGCCAAAGCTAAAAAATAAATATTAAAAAGTTCTCTCTCTCTCTCTTTAAAAAAAAAAAAGAAGGGTGGTTGAGCAAAATTTGTGTCGGTATGAGAGAAAATAGATCAAACTATACTGAAATAAATCCTCCTAATCCCTGATAAACACACTATCTTTCAGGTGTGGTTTCTTCCTTTTTTTCCCCCTTCTTCTTAAATACATTTATATCCATGTAATCTGGTAAAAATTAAGTCTTCCTCCCCACTAAATCCCACTCAACCATTTTCATCTCCAAAGGCAACCTGTATCTTTGCTGAAAATTACATGTATTTATTTTTTTAAAGTATATGTCTTTTACATAAATGGAAACTGCATATATTTTTTTTTCTAGTTCGTGCATTGTTTTGCACCTTGCTTTTGCTCCCACTGGTAACATATTTTGACATTCCTTCCTTATCAGCTTATAAACCACTACTTCATTCTTTTTAATAACTGCATATTTCATTGTATGAATCATAAGTTACCTGTTCCATATTGATGAACTTTGAGCTTATTTCTAACCTTTTGCTATTAGCATAATATGCTTTCTTACTTGAACGTAAGCTACTTGAGAATAAGAATTTATGTCTCTTTTTTACAGTACTGAGGAGGAAGCCCACCCAGGGTCTTGCACATGCTAGGCAAGAGCTCTACCATTGAGCTACATCTGCCTTTTCTGAAATAAGCTCTTGCTAAGTTTCTTAGGGCCTTGCTAAATTGCTGAGGCTTGAACTTGCCATCCTCTTCCCTCAGGCTCCTGAGTCCCTGGGATTACAGGTGTATACCACCACACCAGGCTTAATTAATATAGTTTTGTTGTTGTTTGGTACTGGGGATTGAATCCAGAGGGACTTTACCATTTAGCTACATCTTCAGCCCTCTTTAGTTTTTTTTTTGGGGGGGGGGGGGGGGGTGAGGGGAGAGTCCTGCTAAATTGCTTAGGGCCTCACTAAGTTCCTGGGGCTGGCCTCAAATTTGTGATCCTCCTGCCTCATCCTCCTGAGTCACTGGGTTTAAAGGCACGCACCACCATGCCCAGCTGAACACTTTCACTCAACAGCCTTTAACTCCACTATGTGCAAAGCACATGCGCTTTTAATGATTCCTCTTCTGGGTATTTAGCCTAGTATTTAAAATGACATACATAACACCTATAAGAGAAACTATTAAATCAAAATATGCATATTTTAAATGTTGGTAGAGATTATTCCAAAGCTTTTCACTAAATTTAGGTATTGATTAGTAACAAAGGTTTTTAGTGTTTTGATTAGTAACAAAGGTTTTTAGTATTTTGCAGTCCTTTACACAAAACAGTATAAAAACTGTTAAGGTAGATCAAGAAGTTCCATTCAAGTAAGAAAAAGTTGTAATAAGAATTGTGATGCATTCTGCTGTCAAGTACTTAAAAAATAAAAGCAATTTTTAAAAAGTTGTTTTTATGATGGCATCAAATCTATACAGAAGGGTTGTTGGGGATAGAGGTCAGTTCTAGAATACATGCTTGGCATATGTGAGACCCCATGTTTGATCCCCAGCATCACCATAAATAAAGGAAGAATGGTTAATTAATATATTTAGGAAAAGAAAATGACCTCACAGAAAAGATTCAGTTGAAAGTGCGTTGTCCATTTTCAGCATCATCACTGTTACCAAGTGCCTACCACACGCCAAGCAACATTATTGAGTACTTTATCTCCTTTAATCCTATCCCCATGTATCCTATGAGGAAGACATCTTTTTTATACTTAGTTAACAGATGAAGTTGAAACACAGAGAGAGGTTAAATGTCTTGCCTAAGTCACACAGTTCATAATTGACTGAGCTGGGATTAGAAATGAGCAGTCACGCACAGGTCTCGTGGGCTCAACCCCCAGCACCACCAGGGGAAAAAAAAAAGCAAGTCTAACTCTATACCCATCATTTTTTAAAAATATTTTTAGTTGTAGATGGATATAATACCTTTATTTATTTTTATGTGGTGCTAAGGATCAAACCCAGTGCCTCACACATGTTAGGCAAGTGCTCTACCACTGAGCTACAATCTCAACTCCACAGCCCTTTTTATGTGTGGAGGGTGGGGCTGGGGAAGGTACCAGGGATTGAATTCAGGGGCACTCAACCAGTGAGCCACATTCCCCAGCCCTATTTGTATTTTATTTAGAGACAGGGTCTCACTGAGTTGCTTTACACCTCACCGTTGATGAGGCTGGCTTTGAATCGCAGTCCTCCTGCCTCAGCTTCTCAGGCAGATGGGATTACAGGCGTATGCCATCATGCCCGAACTCCATAGCTCATTTTTGAAAACTATAAGTATTCATGAAGAATGGCATTGAAGGTAGAAGGAACATATAGCAAAGCACCAGGTCATGGTATTTTTTAGAAAGCAGGAGGAAATTCAGTGTGGCTTAAGCATTTTGGGGGCCTAGTTGCCCAAAGATGATGTGGTAGATGAGGTAAAAAATTTAGGCTGAAGGGCTGGAGTTGTAGCTCAGTAATAAAGTGCTTGGCTAATACATGTGAGGTACTGAGTTTGATCCTCAGCACCACATAATAAATACATAAATAAAATAAAGATATCCCTCTATAACTTTATAAAGTATTTAAAAAAAAAAAAAAGAATTTATAAGTACTTAAAAAAAGGCTGAGTACAGATTTGACTGACAGAGATGCCCCAGCATTGGCATTTCCAAACAGGATAATGGCAACTTCATTTCTTTTTCTGAGACTGCTCTGTCTCCAGTTTTGGTGTTGAATTCATGGTGAGGACTTCAAGGGGTTTTATTCTTTCAAAGCTATAGCATTCACTTTTGTCTTCTGAAGATATTGTTCTTGTACTGACTAGATGAAAGCCTTCCTTTAGCAAAATGTCAATCAGTAAGCCGAGGACATTTGTTCCATTGGCCAATTTTCGGTTATCAGGTTTTATAGAAACATACCTGGAACACACAAAAACATTTTAATTACAAAGCATTTGTTTGACTAGCAGAGCCAAACACATACATTTACTTATAACCTCAAAAGAAGACATACATCATACTACTTTCAACCAAATTTATTTTTTGAGACTATTTACAAATCCAAATCAGTTACTTTGGATAACAATTAAATTGGCTCAATTTTTTATATAGGACAATGTAAATACTACCAATTTTTCAATTTGCTACATTACTCAAATCAATTTGTTTTGATGAACACTTTATACTTTTATAATTTCCTCTAGATAAAATTTTGTCAATTATTAGCACTGACATGAATTTTCTTTTATGACTTATTCCTGTCAAATCCATTTTTTCAGGTGAAATGTTGCAGATATTTCAAGATGATTTTATTGTCAGTTTTTACTCAATAATTGTCCATTGTTGAGTAAATCTTGTGGTCAAAAATCTCTGGAGCAGAAATAGCAAAAAATTTTATTCCCTGGGCAACTCCACAGAACCAATGCACATAATAAAAATATGCCCGACCTTTTCAGACTGGCTTCATATTGGCTTTAGTAATGTCAATATAACATACCTGCATAGATGTGGTTATATTACTCCTTCCTTCCTTTTTTTTTTTTTTTTTTTGTACCAGAGATTGAACCCAGGGATGCTTAACTGCTGAGTCACATCCCCAGCCCTTTTCAGTAAGTTGCTTAGGACCTCACCAAGTTGCTTTGAATTTGCAATCCTCCAGCCTCAGCCTCCCAAGTCACTGGGATTACAGGCATGTGCCACCATGCCTAGCTTCCTTTCTTCCCTTCTATTAAGGGTGTTTATTTGTATCCTCCCACCATTTGTTTATGATGTGTGAAAAAGACTAATAACTTAGATTAGTTTCAGGCAGAAACTAATTGTCTAGTTTTATGGAGTAAAAAGATGTTTGTAGTCATCCCTAACCTCTTTTTAAATGATTATGACTGAAATAGAGTGTTTATTGTAGCTCACATTTAGAAACTCACTCTAGACAAACAACAAAAAAAAAGTTCAATAATAAAATCTAAGAATTATCAAACTATCAAACTACAACAACGCCCATCTCAAAAAACTACTACAAGGGCTGGGGATGTGGCTCAAGTGGTAGCGCGCTCGCCTGGCATGCGTGCGGCCCGGGTTCGATCCTCAGCACCACATACCAACAAAGATGTTGTGTCCGCCGAGAACTAAAAAATAAATAGTAAAAATTCTTCTCTCTCTCTCCCCCCTCTCTCACTCTCTCTTAAAAAAAAAAGAAAAGAAAAGAAAATATCAAGAGAACATTGCTTTCAAATCTGTAGAAAATAATTAAAAAAAAAAAAAAACTTCTACAACAATGCCCATCTCAAAAAACTGGTTAAAATGTTTGATACAACTTTTTAACATTAGTTAAAAACATCATTTAGTCTACCCTCAAACCCCAGATAGCCTAGAAATGGTTGTCAGAGAAAATTACAGAATGTCATAAAAGAATTCATATACAAATAGTAAACAGTAGGTGGTAACAAAAGTATAATAGATTTGCAAAAGTACTTGATCCTTATGAAGCCAAATTGAAAAAAAAAAGATTTCAAAGCACAAGAAAAGGGTACAACAAAAGAAACCAATGGGAAATTAAACTTATTTATTTTAATTTATTTTATAGTCCAGGAGATGGAACCCAGGGCCCAGTGCAGTCAAGCATTCTACCACTGAGCTTTACCACTAGCCATTATTTAAAATGTTTTTAAAGACACCACAAAGATGGGTGACTAGGGATGTAGGTCACTGGTAAAGTGCTTACCTAGTATATGCAAGGTCCTGGGTTCAATTTCCAGCACCACAAAAACAACATAAAAAATATTAAAAGCAGCTACACTTTTCTATTTGAATCTGTTTAAAAAGAGAGGTCAAGGGACTACAGTTGCAGCTCAGTAGTAAAAAAGAGGTCAGATAGAATAAAGGTTAGAATCCTGTGACCATAGCTTGGGCATGATAATGTGCTGTCACATGAATGATGATCTGAAAGAATCAAGGCAAATATTTCTCTTTTTTTGGAGGTGCTGGGATTGAACCCAAGGCCTTACAGATGCTAGGCAAGTGTTATACCATTGAGCTACATCCTCAGCCCAAGCCAAGTATTTCTAGTACTATGAACTTTTTAAAAATAATAACTGAGCAACTTGCTAAATTAAATAAGACAAAGTGGTAAATCATTCTGAATAAGGAGACTATAAGGAGACATTCAGTCTTACTCCACCACATTCCATCTTCCAAAAACATATAAACAGACAGATTCAGACCAGGCAAAAATAAAAATGATTGCTAATTTGGCAGTTATATACTCAATGGTGGGCCTTTTTTTTAAATATTTTTTTAGTTGTTGCTGTACCTTTGTTTTTTATTTATTTATATGTGGTGCTGAGGATTGAACACAGTGCCTCACACATGCTAGGCAAATGCTCTACTGCTGAGCCACAACCCCAGCTCCTCAATGGTGGGCCTTTTTTAAAAATATTTTTTAGTTACAGATGTATACAATATCTTTATTTTATTTATTCATTTTTATGTGGTGCTGAGGATCAAACCCAGTGCCTCACATGAGCGAGGCAAGCGTTCTGCCACTGAGCTACAGCCCCAGCCCCAAAGGTGAGCCTTTTAAGGCCAGAGTTTTTGCCTATCACTACAGATTCTCATGTCACTCTATTCAAATTATTAATCTCTATTTTTAAACTAGCTCTATAACATATTATTTAAAAACAAAACAAACAAACAAAACACTCCATAAACCCAAGGGGGAAAAATTCTGAACTAAAAACAACTGAAATATAGCTCAGTGATAGAGCACTTGCCTAGTGTGCCTGAGGCCCTGGGCTTGAACCCAGCACTGCAAAACAGAAAACAAAATAAACTATATAGTGACAGAAAAACATGTTAACTTCTAAAACTAGAAGCTAATTTTAAAATTATCTATTGTGGTAGTGTAAATATAATACCTTTCTCACATGAAGGTAAAATAATTCTGCACTGTTTTTAAAATGCACTTAACAGAACAGTAGCCATTAGATACTGTGTACACACAATAGTCCCATTTCAGTTTCTAATCTCATTTTTCAAGATTACAATCACTTCCTCTACATGCATAGTTTAAAGAGCATTTAATATTTCCAAGACATATTCTTTTACGGTCTATTTCTATTTTACCTGGTCTATTTCTTCTTAAAAATCAAATTTCCCATGTACCTTTTTGAAAAGGGATCACAAGGTCATAAGTACTTAATCGAAATTTTTAAACCAAAAGATTGATCTTGTTTACTTCAGTATCCCATCAATGAAACGAAAGTATACAGAATTAAAACAGTTTGAAATAAAACTAGGGCCTTAGATTTTCTTCATAGTTTATTTATTTGAGTAGCTCCCATTTCCCAGACACTTCAGCCTCTTTTGAAGGGCAAGAAAGTATGAATTGTAAAAACATCTGTATTACCATACTTGGTTATACTATCCAGTGTTCTCTATTTGGTAAGCAAGAACAAGGAGTATGTTGTAGGAGAGGTAGACACTTACATTCTTCTTGATGACTACTGCTCAAGTTAAAGTATCCTAAAATATGTCTTATTTACCTTTACCCAAAAAAGTGTATTTTATTTTAAATGCTATGAAAAAAGAACACATACAGGCTTTCTAATTTTCCTCCTAAAAATTAAAACCAACTTCAGTTGGTAAAATAATAGTGAGACAGCATTAAGACATTTTTAACAGGAGTGAGAGCTGCTATATCCCTGACTCCAAGGTGGAAATCAGCCATTAAGTCCAGCCAAAAACAGGGAAAAGTGAATAACTGACTCAAGAGAAGCTGTCCATGACAAACTGACAGCCTATCCCAACTTTCTGAGATGTATAAGAGATACGAATATACTAGGACACCAAATTTGCCATGATAGATGTCTTCCTTTAAGGGCATTTAAAAATAAAAGCCTTTTTTTCTTCATTGAAGAAAAATCAATAGTTGAATTTAAGCACTAAAAGAATAGATACAGAGTATATAAGGAAGTCAAGAGAAACTACTGAGCCTTTCTGTGAATCACTAAAAGAATCTCTTGAAAAAATAAGATGATTCATTTCTTTTCTTTTGGGGTACTGGGTACTGAACTCAGGGGCACTCGACTATTGAGCCACATCCCCATCCCTATTTTGTACTTTTATTTAGAGACAAGAGTCTGAGTTGCTTAGTGCCTCATCACTCATTTGTTTTAAATTAATTAAAATTTTTTCATTTTAATTATTTTGTGGTGCTGGGGATTGAACACATGGCATTGTACACGAGAGGCAAACATTCTACCAACTGAGCTATATCCTTAGCCCCCCAGGCATTTTTTTATTTTTTATTTTTAGACAGTGTCTTACTAAATTGCCAAGGCTGGCCTCAAGCAATCAATTCTCCTTCCTCAGCCTCCCAAGTCACTGGGATTTGGCACCAAACTTTTTAGCAATGGAACATAATCTATAAAATTATTTCCTCCTACAATTTGAATGACCACAGTCCCATTTTCTCTAGGCAGTCTTGTCTTGTTCCTAGTGTCCTGCATAATACCTTTTACTCTGAAGTGTCCAGGTTTAGAAAATATTTGGTCATTCTACCCAACTCCCTTGGTTACCCCAAAAATCTTTTTTTCTAAGAAAAGTTTTAGGCATGAGGAACTTTGAATTTTGAGGGAAAATATCAGAAACCAGAATAGAAGAGAGATGCTTCAAAATACGAACCTGACTCCAATTTGATTATCAGTAGTGCTGTCAGAGCCACAGTAGAAAACCAGGTCGTGGTAAGAAGGTCTTTGTGGAGGCAGTGGAAGTAAGGTCATCTGAGGAGGGAAAGAGTTACTACTCCAGGTGGGTGCTGCTGGCTGCTCTATAAACACTGTAATTCTCCCAGTTAGCATCTCAATTGTTTTGCTGCAAGAGCCAAACACTCTGAAAAAGGCTTGCGTGTTTCGATTTAGGAAATGCACCTCAAGGAAAGCAGGTCTTGGCTCTAGAATGTGTTGGTTTAAGAGATCAACCAGAGAATCAAGTTCATAGAAAAGAGCCTCTCTCTGAAGCCTAAGATAGTCTGAAAAGTCAGTGGGTAATAAAAGTTGGTGAGTTCTCAAAAAATCTAAGATGAAACTAAATAAAACACCGTCTCTGTCCACAAAAATCTGGCCACCAACCATCTTGAATTCTTGGTCTTTGCCATCTAACATTCGTGCCAACCGAGAAGCAGGAAACTGCTTTATAGTAGAAAGCCTTGTTGTAAATATCTTCCCTCCCACATTCAAAGTGACCAGTTCCTGACTACTCATTCTTCTCTAGTTTCAAACTGGAGGCTACAGGCCATCAGGCACAGACTTAAAGGACTTGTAAACCAACCTATTACCCTAAATGTTGTTATATATGATTAAGAAACAAAAGAGGTAGGAAGAATAACAAAACCAGAAACCTAGATCCCTGGGTAACTGTTGTAAAACAAATATTGTATCCATAGTTGTGTTTGCAAATTTGAGTTGCTTGGGAACTTTGCAGTACACAAAAGGGAAAACTAACACATGAAACTGAATAGTTGAAGGAAAACTGACACTATATCTGAGAATTAATGTCAATTAGATCCCTTTCCTAAATTTGATTTTTAAAACTTCTTGAGATATTGGCCAAATTATATTGTTAATATTGTGTGCATGTACTAATCTGTAACCAATAAAAAATATGGAGGGAAAAAAGACAAACTCTTTAAAAAAAAAAAATTCTCAGGGGCTGGGGATGTAGCTCAGTGGTAGAGCACTTGCTTAGCATGAGCAAGGTCCTGGGTTCCATCCCTAGCACTTAAAACAAACAAACAAACAAAAAAAAAACTCCATGAAATCCTGGTGTAAAACATATTTAGGGCTGGGTTGTGGCTCAGTGATAGATTGCTTGCCTAGCACATGTGAGGCATTAGGTTCAGTTCTCAGCACCGCATATAAATAGATGAATAAAATAAAGGCCCACCAACAACTAAAAATATATATTAAAATAATTTTCAAAACACCATATATTTGCTTAAAAATAAATAAAAACTTACTGGGAGCCAAAAAGCTCTCTCCCTCCTCAGGCCCCTTATTTACTATGAAGCCTTTACAGCAGAAGTTAAGATTCTCATAGAAACATAATCTGAATTTCTTACAATCTCCTTAGCAATTTAGTGGCTACATCAAATTAGGTGATATATTTGCTGTTAGGAATGAAACAGCAAATACATCACCCAGCAGATTATTTTTGACTTTTCTCATAGCTAGTAGGAAATTATTTCTTCCATACTTTACATTTTATTGTCACCCTTTTTACATTTTATTTAGACAGGGTCTCACCAGGTTGTGAGGCTGCTTTCAACTTGTGATATTCCTGCCTCAGCTTTCGGGAGCTGCTAAGATGTGTGCACCCCCACATCTGCTTTATCTCTTTTGACTGGAGTAGATACTCTGTTCTCTAAATTGTTCCACAAAATGGGCTTTCAAAGGAATGCCTTTTTCCATAACAGAAATAAGGCAGTTCTGAGCTAAGGTTACCTCTTTGTTGAGAAAAAAAGGTGAGAAAATTTAGTACTTTAGTACTTTTGTTCTGTTCTCTTTATCTCATGTGAGCAGATAGTATATTATTAATGTTCTGATTACTCTGTACTTTTTACAAATGGACAGATTGTTTCATCTGCTGTCAAGTTTTACAACTAAAATTCTGTAAGCAAATGGAATTCATTTGATTGTATAGCTGCCATACTTTAGAACCCACAACCACATTCAGCTGCCAGTAAAAAAGTGACTTTCCTATTTCTTGCTCCTGCCAAGTGTTGGATCGCTTTTTCTTTTTTAATCTATGCCTTTGCACAGCCACCTAACAATTCTATAGTTTATCATCTTTAGTTGAAAATTTTATAGAAAAGGAGAAAGGGGTAGGTTTAAATCTAAACCCTCCTAAAAATGTAAACATCACAAGAGAACACCAGTTTTTTTTTTGTTGTTTACATTAGATTTACATTTTCATGAGAAAGGAATCAAGCCTCCAGAAAGACTTAGGAGACCCAATCTATTCATTGTCTTTTCTTCTTTAAAATTCCAACCTATTCACAAAAAGGTTGCTTAAGGCCAGGCACAATAGTGCAAAACTTGGAAGGCCAATGCAAGCCAGTCTTGGCAACTTAGCAAGACCCTATCTCAGAATTTAAAAAGAACTGTGGTTTAGCTCAGTGGTAGATTGCCCCTAGGTTTAATACCCAATACCACCAAAAAATTGTCTTTACAAGACCAATCTTCACCAGAAATTTTTTTGAAGGAGAGGGGAGGGGTACCAGGGATTGAAGCCAGGTGTACTTAACCACTGAACCACATCCCCAGTCCTTTAAATTGAGACACGGTCTAAGTTACTCAGGGCCTTGATAAATTGATGAAGCTAGCTTTCAATTTGCAATTCTCTTGCCTCAGCCTCCTGGGTCACTGGGATTACAGGCATGTGCCACCAAGCCTGGCTTTACCAAATTCTATACCACATCAATACAGAATTAGATCATGTGTTCTCTCACCTCCCACTTTTTATTTGGTGTTGGGTTTTTTGGGGTTTGTTGGTGGTAGTGGATTTTTGAGACCAGATCTATGTTGCACAGGTTGGTCTTAAACCTCTGGTTCAAACAATCTTAGCATCCTAAGAGGCTGGGACTACAGACATGCTCTTATTTGTATGACAGCATAAAGAAAGCCAATATTAGAATATTTGTTTTAATAGCACTCTGAAAAAAGAAGGGTTCAGAACTGAATGACTGAATTTCCCCTTTAATTTTATGCTACTTAATCTGAATGTGTATCAGATGGGTTTTTTTTTTTTGGTATAACTTTATTTATTTATAGGTGATGCTGAGAATTGAACCCAGTAACTCATACATGCTAGGCAAGCACTCTTCCACTGAGCTTCAACCTTAGCCCCAACAAATTTATACTTTTGAATCTTGGGGATACTCCAACCCTAGGACAATATTTTTTAAAGGAATACTTCTGCCTGTGTTGCTGGAGATTAGAACCCAGGGCTTTGTGCATGCAAGGCAAGCACTCTACCAGCTGAGCTATATCCCCAGCCCTAAAGGAATACTTTTGGAGGAAAATATCTGATTGGAATCTTGACAAAATCTGAATTACTAACCTATTCTCTTAATAATTTCTATCAAAAAACAGAACTGCAGAGTTGGAAGATTTTATAATAGTTTATATTTGCACACAAATTCGGCCACATTATTTAGCACCACCAAAGTAAAATTGTTGACTGTTTCACTGAAAATGAAAAACCCATTTGTCACTTGTTCCCAGTAAAAAACTGATTGTTCTACAAAATCAGCTGATTTAGTCAGATAAAAACTGAAATTAGAAAGATGGTCTTTCCAAATTGCCAGTTCATCAAATACAGACCATTCTAGGAATACAGTAGGACCCAAGAAAATGAGGAAAATAAGGAGGCCAAGTAGAAGGAGTACCACAAATAACTGATAGAATCTCCAAGGAATCTTGCTTATGAACGTGCCAGTATCTTGAGGCAAAGAAAGTTTATCCACATCTACTAGTTTTATGTCCTCCCATTGACTGGTATCAAAGTTCTTCATTAAAGGGCTTGTGGGCAAAGTAGAGGGAGGTAAAGGAGTTTCCTTGATTACTTTGATTTTCTCCCTGAACTCCTGCATCTGTTGCAGAAATACAATGGGTTCTGACACATCTTTGAAAGCCTCAGCAATATTAAAAGCCATTCGTTGCTCCTGCAAGATGGTATTGAGTTTGTTGATCTCTGGGTCATAAGCTTGCATTACTGCAAGTTTCATGGTCTCAAAGTCAGACAGGATTTCATTCTTCTTTTGATCCAATGTGTGTTGTAACTTCTCAAAAAATTCCTTCACTTTATCTGAATCTTTAGTTAGTAACTGCAGGGATTTCCTCTTACTGGTTTCCAAGGTATCCAAACGAGAAAGAGCATCTCCCCGACGCCAGGTCTCAAAACTCTGGAAGAGAGTCTCAAAGGCATCCCTTTCCTGAGCATAGGCATCTTCAATAGAACAGAAGACATGCTTGGTGTGGTCACCTCGAGTAGCACAGATCCCACAAATTAGCTGCATATCAGTTAGGCAGAAAATGTTTAGAGGCTGCCCCAAGTGTCCTTTGCACACTGGCATTTTGGGAGAGACCTTGATTTTGTTGTATTTCTCCACAATACCTTTCAGGGAGTAATTAACCTGCAGGCTATTAACTCCAGTAGCTGAGGTTTCCTTCCGGCATGTAGGGCACTTGAATGGAGATGGTCTCCACAACGAATTCCGCACATTCCCCTCTAAGAGACCTTCTAAGCATTTTTTGCAGAAGTTGTGTGAACAAGGCAAAACTCGAGGATCATCAAACAGACTGCAACAAATTGGACACGTGAGATCTTCTTCAAGCAGCTCCATCACATCCTACCACAGAGAAAGAAACATTTTATATTACTCCAGTAATCCCCTCCACTAGAACTATGTAATAATGAGAAGCTATCTTCACATTAAAATGTTTTGCTGAAATAACCAGCCAAACAGAGGAAATAAGTGAGAAATTTGGGAAGGGAATGCATACCAAAGCAGATTTAATCCGTTGAGACGACAACATGTTCCTTATTAGTAGGGCACCCTGCACACAAGGCCTTTGTGTGAGCTTTCCAACAATAGTCTTTGGCTAAGACAGGGTTAGGACTAGGACAACTGCAAGTTGAGCCAGCAGGACCCAAGTGATTGTTTTAAAACAGAGAGCTGACTACTAGCTGTCAGAAACAAAGCTACTCAGTGTCTGTAACAGAATGAGCTCTTTACTTTGGGCCCAGAAATATAAATCCAAGCCATGTACACCAATGGACTTTTTTAAAATTAGGAACTAGCATATTTCAAGGCAAAATTATAAAACAGTTGCAATTTACTCTTGCTTAGAGAATCAGGTTGGGGTTTTTTTTTAATCTTTTTTTTTTTTTCATTTTTATGTGGTGCTGAGGATCGAACCCAGTGCCTCATGCATGCTAGGCAAACGCTCTACCACTGAGCCACAACCCCAGCCCCAATCAGGTTGTTTTTTAAACAACCAGAATGACAAGTCAAAACCACCTTATAGATCATCTACAGCATCTTAAACAGTTCTCAAAATGTGGGCAGAAACATGGCTCTTTCAAGGAATCCATGAGATCAAATTATTTTCACAATTTTGCACCATGTTGACATTGGCACTTGCAATGTAAAAGCCATAGTGGGTACATAGCTGGAGCCTTAACAGGACTCAAGTAAGGCAGTAAAGAAGCAACAAATTGATTTAGTCATTGTATTCTTCACCACAGTCTGAGTGGATTGAGTGTTGGAGAGCCAGTTTCATTTTTAAATGTTCTTGATGAAGCAGCAAAAATTATACATTTTGTTAAATCTTGATCCTTGTGTACACATCTTTAATATTTTGTGTGATAAAATAGGAAATGTACACAAAAGCTTTTCTGTATACCAGCAGATGTTGTCTGGAAGAAAAGCACTTATGTGACTGAGCTGCAAGATGAAGCAGCTGCTTTTTTAATGGAATATCAGTTTTACTTGAAAGAAACTGACAAACCATAGCTATTCAGATTTAGGTATCTGACACATTTTCTTGAAAATGAACAAACAACTTGTTCAAGAAAAACACAAGAGCAGGGCATGGTGGTGCACACCTATAATCCCAGTGACTCAGGAGGCTGAGGCAGAGGACTCCAAATTTGAGGCCAAACTTGACAACTTAGTAAAACCTTGTCTCAAAATTAGGAAAAAAAGGGGGGTGGAAGGGATGGAGTTTCAGTAGTAGACTGCTCCTGAGTTCTATCACTAATGCTTGGGGGGTGGGGGGTAGGGTGGGATGGCTTTTTTGCCAATAAAAAAGTTGGATTTTCATGTAAAAACTGGAATTTTGGAAAACATTTCTTCTTGTAAGCTTGACAGCCTCCCATTAATTAAAGAGTTCTCTTATGAGTTAGGTGGTGACATTGATGCACAGAAGGGCTATTTTTGTGGAGAGTGAATACTATATAATAAAATGTCAATTTCCAAAGAACTGAGTTATATCCCCAGCCACAGGTTTAATTGTTTTTAAAATGTACATTAATCCCTAAAGATTTAAAACCAAAAATAGTGCTAAATATTTCTTTACTCAGTTTACCTAGGAATACACACACATATAACCACCAAATTAATAATCTACAGATGAGGCTGGGGTTATGGCTCAGTGGTGAAGACTTGCTAGCATGTATGAGGCACCGGGTTCGATCCTCAGCACTTCATAAAAATAAATAAAGGTATTGTATCCATCTACAACTGAAAAAATGTTTTTTAAAAAAATAATAATCTACAGGCTTTCTTACAATTTTCTTTTTCGGGGGGAGATTGTGCTGGATTATAATGAGAGCTACATCTAAAAGATTAACATACTTAAAAGGATATTCAGTTATAAAATATGTACTTATAATAAATATATTTAGTATAAGTAAAATTAAAACAAAAACTATTGTCTCAAATTTAGTATCATGGCCTGGTGCAGCCTCAGCAATTTAGTGAGGCCCTAAGCAATTTAGTATAAAATAAAAAAGAGCTGGTGATGTGGTTCAGTTGTTGAGCACCCCTGGGTTTAATCCCTGATACCAAAAAATGAATGTGTCATATGGCAAAAAGTATGTAACCAGCTGATTTTTCTGAAAAATTTCTTATGATATGAAAAATCATATAACCTTTGAAAAGCACTGAGAATGGCTATAAAGATTCAACTCAGTGTGTGCTCTCTAAGAGAGGTTACCAACCCTAAGAGAGCTCCACACTGTATCACCTCCAGAATTCTGTTGTTTCACCCAAGAATTCTACACAAGGTCAGATTTCTTTTTCTTTTTTTCAAATATATTTTTTTTAAGATGTACTCCATATCTTCTTTTTTTTAAAATTTGTTTTTATGTGGTGCTGAGGATCAAACCCAGGGCCTCACATGTGTGAGGCAAGACCTCTACTGCTGAGCTATAACCCCAGCTCCAAAGGTCAGATTTCTGAGAAAACAGTAGACAACAACAACAACCAAAAAAAAAGCAGTGGGAGGGCTGGGGATAGCTCAGTTGGTAGAGTGCTTCCCTTGCATGTACAAGACCCTGGGTTCAATCCCCAACACCACACACCCACCCACATACACACACAAAAGCAGTGGGAGTGGAGTAGCAGCATGCAACAAAGCAAATATCTATTAATATTTCCAGGGATATCAATAAGTAAAAGGAAAACAAAAGATATCCTAACCAAGTGGTTAAGATAAACAAGAGAAAATAGGCACCCTAGGCAAGAAAAACTTTGAAGAAAACAGAAATGATGTAATAAGGGTCAAGAATTTTAAGGCAATCAAATATGATCCAAAGTGAAAAATGTCACAGGTAGGAAATTTTAGAAAATTAAAAAAACAAAAAAGTGCTGGAGATATAGTTCAGTGGTAAAATCCTCTAGGTTGAATTCCCAGTGCTTGAGTGCACACTTGTGCATACATACATGCATGTGTGCACACACAGTTTTGAAGGAAAATATGCAATAAAGGTTTTTAGTGCTCTTTAAAGTGAAATGCCTTCAAGTATGGCTAAAATCTGAAGAAATCAACAGCTTGCTCCTTTGAAAGCACATATCCAATCTTTTTTCTTAGCTAAATTTCCCCAATATATAGAAATCAAGAAACTTTAAACAGTTAAAACTTCAACTTAACCAACATCAAAATTAAACAAGTTTGCCAAGATTCATTTCTTCCTTCAAATATTTCTGAATACAAAAAATTCTAAATTTTGAAGCATGGAAATCTATTTTCCCACCAATTAAATATTTCCCAAGTGTTTTTATACCAACAATTAAAACAGCTGTCTATACACTAGTTGTCTACCACCTCTCTGGAAAAATGTCACCCTTATTTGCCTGTCATACTATTTTTTTGTTAATATTTATTTTTTAGTTCCAAGTGGACATAATATCTTTATTTTGCACTTACATGGTGCTGAGGATTGAACCCAGTGCCTCATGCATGCTAGGTCAATACTCTACCACTGAGCCACAACACCAGCCCCTGTCATACTATACTATAACTGCATAACTATATACCATCACCATATGTTTATTGTTTTAAATTTATTTATTTACTTACTTATTTTGGTGCCAGGGATTGATCCCAGGGTTGCTTATCTATTGAGCCACATTCCCGGCTCTTTTTATTTTTTATACTTTATATTTAGAGACAGGATCTCACTAAGTTGCTGAGACTGGTTTGTGAACTTGCAATCTTCCTGCCTCAGCCTCCAGAGCTGCTGGGATTACAGGTGTACGCCACTGTGCCAGCAAAAAGTTTGTTTAAGCAATGAAAAGTTAATACTTAAAAAGAAAACAGTAAAATAGAAAAACTAATAGGTATTAGACCTTTTCCCCCTTGGAATGATCAACCCCAAAATTATTGTACTATAAAAGGTGTTCATTCATTTCCCTTAAGACATTCTTTCCCTAAAACACGTTGGGGAGGTGGGGAGTTGAACCCTTTCCTATTAAGTTATTCAAAATGTCATTCATGCCAAGTTCAGTGCCCCACGTCTATAATCCCAGGGACTCTGGAGGCTGAGACAGGAGGATCACAAGTTCAAGACCAGTTTCAGCAATTAAGGCCCTAAGCAACTCAGTCCCTGTCTCAAAATACAAAATAAAAAGGACTGGAAATGTAGCTCAGTGGTAATGCCCCTCTGGGTTCAATACCCAGTACCAAAAAAAAAAAAAAAATTATCCATGGTCTCCTTTTAGTTCCATTAAGGAACAAAAAGAAAAGCCAGGGCTGGGGCTGTAGCTCAGTGGTAGAGCACCCGCCACCTGCCTTGCATGTGGTGAGGCACTGGGTTCAATCCTCAGCACCACATAAAAATGGATAAATAAAGATACTGTGTCCATCTACAACTAAAAAAATATTAAAAAAAAAAAAAAGAAACAAAGAAACAAAGAAAAGCCAGCAAGCTTGTGTCTTAAGGGATTTTTAAAATTTACTTATTTTTGCAGTGCTGGGACCTGAACTCAGGGTCTTGAGCATATTAGGTATTTGTTTGTTGGTCTATTGCTGGTCTCGAACTCTTAGGCTCAAGTGGTTCCCCTCCCTCCTCCTGAGTAGCTGGAATACAGGAGTGCTTCACATCAGCTGGTTTCTTTTCTCCAAGTAAATGTAAATAGGTTTAAATGAAGGTGACAAATTTTTACCCCTAAAAAACTTGTCTTCTTGAGCTGGGCATGGTGGCTCACACCTGTAAATCCCAGCAACTCAGGAGGATCACAAGTTCAAGGGCAGCTTCAGTAATTTAGCAAAGCCCTAAACAACTTAGTGAAACCCTGTTTCAAAATAAAAAATAAGAGCTGGGGATGTGGCTCATTGGTTAAGC